AAGGAAATGCCCCCGGGCGCCCCCATTACGCACCTTATCACTGTGGGGGTGATCTCCGCGCAGAAGAACACGCTGAGGCTCCCCACTGCGTGGGAGGCGAACATGCCCACGATGGAAAATGCGATGGAGAATTTGTCCTTGACGCTGTCGCTCATCCCTGAGGGAGAATCCAAGAAGGGGGTGGTGAAGGGGGGCAGAGGCAGCTGGGAGCAAGCAAGGCCAGGCGTGCAGGGGCGGGGCGTGGGGAGGAGTGGCCCAGCCACTCGCAGGGGTTGCGTCACCCCCTGCCTAGCCTGCTGGTGTTCCCGCGGAAGACCCAGCAGCTGCAGGAGCCTGACGCCATCTGGGCAGAGGACTGCGTCTGGATCCTGTAAGTCCAGCGGGCGGAGCAAGCCTGGGCCATCGGAGTTCCGCAGCCCGAAGCCAGGCCTGCCAGGAAGGCACGCTGCCCCCCTGCTGCCCAGCCTCCTGGGTTTGCTCCCAGAGGGCTTTGCGCCATGGACAGCCTCGGCCGTTTTGGCCTCAGGTGTAACCCGTCCAGTACAGGGACAACGTGTCTCAGTGGTGCTGATTTAATCCAAACGGAAGAACTTATGGACCAGAGGGAACGTGCTTGACCACCCCCAGTGCCTTACAAACGGCGCCAGAGTGCAACCTTGCGCAGAGGCGGCGACATGGGCATGCTGTCAGGGGTGCCCAGCCAATCCTCCCACCAGCTTGAGGGAGGGCCAGCATTCCCCAGAGACACTGCAGCGTGGGCTGGGGTCAGGCCAGGCAGGAGGAACAGCAGCGCCGAGGTGCGGGGCAGAGGCCCTGCTGTCCCCTGCAGTCAGGGAGCAGCGAGGCAGCGTGAGTCACAGTGAGGACAGCAGCTCCCCTAGCAGCAGGGACAGTCAGGCCCCAAAGACTTCCCAGGGCTTGGATAGGGCCTGGGCGGCATCCGTAAGACAAAGGGAGGGCGCCCAGCCAGGGGCCTGTGCTGCGTCCTGGTGCGGGGAGGGGCGCGGGCATGCGTGCCAAGCTGCATGGATCGGGCGCAGGGACTGCTCTCTGAGGGCGAGAGGGAGCAGAGAATACAAATGTACGCTTATCGTGTCCAACCTACGGCCAACTTCAGCTGCAACTCTTGGAGGGGAAGGAGGGGAGGAGAGAGGAAAGGAAACCACAGGTCTGTGAGTTCTTTTGCAAAAACACTTGTTTGGGAACAATGAAGGATGAGGATGCAGGTGCATCTGGGGCTCACCTGAGTCTGGGTGCTGGCTGTACTTCCCGATCACTGCGCCCACGGAGGCCACAGCAGCCGCAGGGATGGCGAATGAGGAGGCGGGAAGAGAGGGAGAAGGCTGGTCAGGTAGGATTATTACAACACGCCCCACGTGCCCTGTTCTAAGCAAACTCCCTTCCACGTCTGGGCTGGTGCTGGCCGCCTGGCCAGCAGAACCCACCCTGGCTAGACAAAGACTTTTTTTTGTTGGGAAGACAGGGCTAAAACCCACTGGCCTCAGAAATTGAGGGACCAGCAGTTAGCATAATGGCTATGCCGCTGGACTCCCACGTAGTTGAACGCGGGTTGCGTCCTGGACCCGGTGGCTTAAAACTCATGCTGGGCGCATGTGCATGCATGCCCAAGATCCCGAGAGGAGAATGGAGAAGGGATTGCGGCGTGGCCATCGCCCCTGGGGGGTGATTTCTTGCTTTCTGTCTCTCTGTCTCTGTCTCTGTCTGGCAAGCACACGTGCCCTATAGCAAAAGCCTGTCCGAAAAAAAAAAGAAGTTGGGAACAAAACAGAACTCTTCAGAACAGAGACCCTAACAGATCCAAAGGGTGAATCTCCTTGATCTCCTTGAACATGAAGTTATTCAAGGACCACTCCTGGTTGGTGGTCAGGACACATCAAACAGAAGGGAGTTTGAAAAGTTCATGGAAACATAGAACTACTGGGTTGTCCACAAAGTCACCATGCATTTCTGCATAGAAAAAATACAGAAAAATATGTTATGACTTTTCAATGACCCAATAGTAGGAGTTTATTTTAGTGCAAAAAAAAGAAAGGAAATCCATGCATAATTTTTTTATAACACACATTTTCCATGACCTCCGTATGTAAGGGTGGACTCTGAGTTCTGAACCTCACAGTGATTTTCTGTTTGCCCAGAATTCTTATGGCTTCCTGCTCAGGGCCCAGAAGGGCCTCTGTGAGTGACACCAGGGCTGAGGCACCAGGTCACATCCCGTGTGAGCTGAGCAGAGGGTCCCTGAGGCATGGCTCTGTGTTTACACCAGGGCAATGGGAACGGAAGGAGACAGAGGTCACTCATTTATTTCATTATTAGTCACCACTGAAAATAAGACGGGTGCCCAGCAAGGTGTGGAACGCATAATCACCAGCCCAAGGCAGGAAACTCGCCCCAGTGGGAGACTAGGTATTCTATAATCTGGTCTGCACAGCAAGGCTGCCCCTGTCTGGAGGGCTGCCATTGCATCCAACTCCCACAACCCAGCTTAGATCACCTTGTAAAGGAGGGGAGCGCTGTGGCACTAACTTTCCCCATGCTGTCCCATGCCTGGCCCAGAGGACAGTGCCTGGCTGTGTGAAGGCAGCCTTGCAGTCTGGCCCGTCCAGGCAGATGCCGCGTGACTTCCCCACACATGAAGGTGCTGTTTGTTAGAGACAGGCAACACTGAGCTTGCCAGAGGGGCTTTGGTTAGCGGCTTGCCTTAGGCTAGCGTTCACATTTATGGGGACATTCTTTGGTCCCAAAGAGAAGCTGATGAACTCGGAATGTCTGCTAAAAGGCAGCGCCCCAGTGCAAGGGTGCCAGCACAGACTGGTTCGCCCTTAACCTCACAGGACAGAAGTCCTTTGTTCTTTGTTATGGATGACTCACAAAGAAATACTGCCCTTCCTGAAGTCCCGCCCACCAGGACCCACAATGGGGTCACGTGGGGAAGAGGGGAAGCCCAGCAGCCTTGGAGGTATCACAGAGCTGCTAATGAAAGTGCTGCCCTGGAACCAGCAGGTGGCGTCATGGTTATGTCACCGGACTCCCATGTAATTGACTGTGGTTCAAGTCCCGGACCTGGCATCTTGAAACTCAAGCCGGGTACATGTGTGCGCATACCAGAAATCCAGAAAGGAGAATGGAGGAGAAGGGATTGCAGCATGACCATCCCCCCACGGGGGGTGATTTCTTGCTTTCTATCTCTCTCTGTCTCTCTCGTGAGTGCATGCACCTATAGCAAAATCTCTCTCAAAAAAGAAAGGAAAGGGAACCAGCAGTTAGCATAATGGCTATGTCACTGGACTCCCACGTAGTCGACCGCGGTTCGTGTCCCGGACCCGGTGGCTTAAAACTCACGCCGGGTGTGTGTGCGTGCATGCCCAAGATCCCAAGAGGAGAATGGAGGAGAAGGGATTGCGGTGTGACCATCCCCTCTGGGGGGGTGATTTCTCGCTTTCTGTCTCTATGTCTCTCTCTGTCTATCTGGCGAGCGCACGCGCCCTATAGTGAAAACCTCTCCAAAAAAAAATATAAATAAATAAAAGGAAAGAAAGAAAAAAGAAAGTGCTGTCCCAGAGCCAGCAGGTGGCATGGCAATTAAGGCACTGGACTCCCACATGGCCAACTGTGGTTCAAGTCCCAGACCCAGTGGCTTAAAAATCATGCTAGGCCCATATGAATGTGTGCCCAAAATCCCAGGAGGAGAAAGGAGGAAAGGGGATTGCTGCATGGCCACCCTTCCCGGGGGGAGGAGGGTAATTTCTTCTTTTCCCTTTCTCTGTCAAAATTCTAACACTAAAAAATAAAATAAAGGAAGTGCTGTCTTTTCTAAAATGGTTTCTACAAGCCGTTGGTTTTAGAGAAGCCACTCACGTCTCCCTGTCTTCCACACGTGGTTTGGTGGTTCGCCAGCTCCCCCACCTGGGCGCCCACGGCCCACCCTCCCCCCGCACCCTGGCCACTCACGGTTGAGGAGCCCGAGCTGCAGCAGCGAGGCCAGGGCGGTGAGGATCATGAAGAGCAGCAGCCCTCCTCTGCGCCCGAGGAACCTGACCACCACGCACATGGCCAGGCAGGACGCCAGCGCGATGCCGGCCGTGGTGTAGTAGTCGGCGTAGAAGTTCTCCAGGAGCGGCACCTTCACCTCGTGGCCCATCATGCTCCTGGCAAAGCAGTGGTGGATCCCGTACCCCGTCAGCCTGTAGGGGACACACGGGGAGGGGTGGTAGGCAGTTGGGCCTGGCTGAGGGGCTGTGCCCTCCCCTGGACATTCATTGCCTCTGCCGGCCACCGGGAGACAGTGATACCACTCTGAGTGCCACGGAAAAGCACGCTGTTGTCACACACATGCCAGTGACGCTGGAGAACGCCACACAGAAGCTCGGGGCCAGGGTCTATGCAGCCCTGAGGCATTTTGCCCAAGCATGAACATTCTCGGGGACACAACAGCAAAGCGAAAGTGCCTTCCCTGGGCTGACTCACTCTCCTCTACGGCTAAGCCATGGGCACCATCATCGGACCGTCCCGCAGAGGGGCAGACGGGCCTCATGCACGCAGTTCTCAGCTGGCAACAGCCATGGGACATACAGCCTCCCTGGGTCTTGCCACTCCTTCGGGCACTCAGGGTTCTGGAAACATGGGGATTCACCCACCCCTCTTCCACTCAACACCTGCTGCAACTCCATCAATGTGGCCTGCAGACACCAGACCCTCGGCCTTCAGGAAACTGTCTCAGTTCTAACCTGTCCCAGTTTCCCTCCCACTGCCCCGGTCGGGCCTCTTTTCTGACCCTCCACACCCCCCCAGGAGCCTATAAACTGCTGGGGAATGTATCCCCGGTGTGGCAGACAGGTGTCCACCTGGCGAGCAGGAAGGAAGGGGGGGCTCAGGGCGCCCTATCCGGCTGTGGGTACCTCTGGGTGAGGATGTGGCCAGGTGTGACATGCCCTTGGTGCAGAAGAGCCCAGCCCTGTGCCTGCTAACATCCTCTCTCTCCTCCACCTGCCCCTCCAGGCTTCAGGAAACTCAAAGTGCTTTTATCCACCCTGGAGGACACCCAAGGTCAGCCGCGACAAAACCAGACAGAACCCTGCAGGAAGAGGCTGCTCCTTTGTCAAAGGGATGCATTTCCACATGGGAGGCCCCGACTCTCAATCAAGCAATGGATCTGAGGCAGCTGGTCTCCTGGGACCCCACGGGAATCTTCTTCCTGGCCTGCTGACTCTCAGGGCAATCTTTTACCTTAATGAAATGCTCTGGGAACCAGCAGTTAGCGTAATGGCTATGTCGCTGGACTCCCATGTAGTCAACCGTGGATCGAGTCCTGGACCCGGTGGCTTAAAACTCACGCCGGGTGCGTGTGCGTGTGTGCCCAAGATCCCGAGAGGAGAATGAAGGAGAAGGGATTGCGATGGGGCCATCCCCCCCGGGGGGTGATTTCTCGCTTTCTGTCTCTATGTCTCTCTCTGTCTGTCTGGCGAGCGCACGTGCCCTATGGCAAAAACCTCTCCAAAAAAAAAAAAAATTAGTACCGTGACCATGACAGTCCTTTTTTTTTTTTATTTTTAGGTGTTGGCCATAGGGCACATGCACTCACTGGAGAGAGACAGAGATGGTGAGAGGGAAAGTGAGAAATCCCCCCCCCCAGGGGGGGGGGCCACACTGCAATCCCTTCTCCATTCTCCCG